AATCTGACTTTGTCACTAGTCTGACCAATGTTTATGTTGTAATCTGACTTTGTCACTAGTCTGACCAATGTTTATGTTGTAATCAGACTTTGTCACTAGTCTGACCAATGTTTATGTTGTAATCTGACTTTGTCACTAGTCTGACCAATGTTTATGTTGTAATCTGACTTTGTCACTAGTCTGACCAATGTTTATGTTGTAATCTGACTATCACTAGTCTGACCAATGTTTATGTTGTAATCTGACTTTGTCACTAGTCTGACCAATGTTTATGTTGTAATCTGACTTTGTCACTAGTCTGACCAATGTTTATGTTGTAATCTGACTTTGTCACTACTTTGTCTGACCAATGTTTATGTTGTAATCTGACTATCACTAGTCTGACCAATGTTTATGTTGTAATCTGACTATCTCTAGTCTGACCAATGTTTATGTTGTAATCTGACTTTGTCACTAGTCTGACCAATGTTTATGTTGTAATCTGACTATCACTAGTCTGACCAATGTTTATGTTGTAATCTGACTTTGTCACTAGTCTGACCAATGTTTATGTTGTAATCTGACTATCTCTAGTCTGACCAATGTTTATGTTGTAATCTGACTTTGTCACTAGTCTGACCAATGTTTATGTTGTAATCTGTCACTAGTCTGACCAATGTTTATGTTGTAATCTGACTTTGTCACTAGTCTGACCAATGTTTATGTTGTAATCTGACTTTGTCACTAGTCTGACCAATGTTTATGTTGTAATCTGACTTTGTCACTAGTCTGACCAATGTTTATGTTGTAATCTGACTTTGTCACTAGTCTGACCAATGTTTATGTTGTAATCTGACTATCACTAGTCTGACCAGTGTTTATGTTGTAATCTGACTTTGTCACTAGTCTGACCAATGTTTATGTTGTAATCTGACTTTGTCACTAGTCTGACCAATGTTTATGTTGTAATCTGACTTTGTCACTAGTCTGACCAGTGTTTATGTTGTAATCAGACTTTGTCACTAGTCTGACCAGTGTTTATGTTGTAATCTGACTTTGTCACTAGTCTGACCAGTGTTTATGTTGTAATCTGACTTTGTCACTAGTCTGACCAATGTTTATGTTGTAATCTGACTATCTCTAGTCTGACCAATGTTTATGTTGTAATCTGACTTTGTCACTAGTCTGACCAATGTTTATGTTGTAATCTGACTATCACTAGTCTGACCAATGTTTATGTTGTAATCTGACTTTGTCACTAGTCTGACCAATGTTTATGTTGTAATCTGACTTTGTCACTAGTCTGACCAATGTTTATGTTGTAATCTGACTATCACTAGTCTGACCAGTGTTTATGTTGTAATCTGACTTTGTCACTAGTCTGACCAATGTTTATGTTGTAATCTGACTTTGTCACTAGTCTGACCAATGTTTATGTTGTAATCTGACTTTGTCACTAGTCTGACCAATGTTTATGTTGTAATCTGACTTTGTCACTAGTCTGACCAATGTTTATGTTGTAATCTGACTTTGTCACTAGTCTGACCAGTGTTTATGTTGTAATCTGACTTTCTAGTCTGACCAATGTTTATGTTGTAATCTGACTTTGTCACTAGTCTGACCAATGTTTATGTTGTAATCTGACTTTGTCACTAGTCTGACCAGTGTTTATGTTGTAATCTGACTATCACTAGTCAGACCAATGTTTATGTTGTAATCTGACTTTGTCACTAGTCTGACCAATGTTTATGTTGTAATCTGACTTTGTCACTAGTCTGACCAATGTTTATGTTGTAATCTGACTATCACTAGTCTGACCAGTGTTTATGTTGTAATCTGACTTTGTCACTAGTCTGACCAGTGTTTATGTTGTAATCTGACTATCACTAGTCTGACCAATGTTTATGTTGTAATCTGACTTTGTCACTAGTCTGACCAATGTTTATGTTGTAATCTGTAATCTGACCAATGTTTATGTTGTAATCTGACTTTGTCACTAGTCTGACCAATGTTTATGTTGTAATCTGACTTTGTCACTAGTCTGACCAATGTTTATGTTGTAATCTAGTCTGACCAATGTTTATGTTGTAATCTGACTATCACTAGTCTGACCAATGTTTATGTTGTAATCTGACTTTGTCACTAGTCTGACCAATGTTTATGTTGTAATCTGACTATCACTAGTCTGACCAATGTTTATGTTGTAATCTGACTTTGTCACTAGTCTGACCAATGTTTATGTTTTAATCTGACTTTGTCACTAGTCTGACCAATGTTTATGTTGTAATCTGACTATCACTAGTCTGACCAGTGTTTATGTTGTAATCTGACTTTGTCACTAGTCTGACCAATGTTTATGTTGTAATCTGACTTTGTCACTAGTCTGACCAGTGTTTATGTTGTAATCAGACTTTGTCACTAGTCTGACCAATGTTTATGTTGTAATCAGACTTTGTCACTAGTCTGACCAATGTTTATGTTGTAATCTGACTATCACTAGTCTGACCAGTGTTTATGTTGTAATCTGACTTTGTCACTAGTCTGACCAATGTTTATGTTGTAATCTGACTTTGTCACTAGTCTGACCAATGTTTATGTTGTAATCTGACTTTGTCACTAGTCTGACCAGTGTTTATGTTGTAATCTGACTTTGTCTCTAGTCTGACCAATGTTTATGTTGTAATCTGACTTTGTCACTAGTCTGACCAATGTTTATGTTGTAATCTGACTTTGTCACTAGTCTGACCAATGTTTATGTTGTAATCTGGCTTTGTCACTAGTCTGACCAGTGTTTATGTTGTAATCTGACTATCACTAGTCAGACCAATGTTTATGTTGTAATCTGACTTTGTCACTAGTCTGACCAATGTTTATGTTGTAATCTGACTTTGTCACTAGTCTGACCAATGTTTATGTTGTAATCTGACTATCACTAGTCTGACCAGTGTTTATGTTGTAATCTGACTTTGTCACTAGTCTGACCAGTGTTTATGTTGTAATCAGACTTTGTCACTAGTCTGACCAATGTTTATGTTGTAATCTGACTATCACTAGTCTGACCAATGTTTATGTTGTAATCAGACTTTGTCACTAGTCTGACCAATGTTTATGTTGTAATCTGTTGTACCAGTGTTTATGTTGTAGTCTGACCAGTGTTTATGTTGTAATCTGACTATCACTAGACAGACCAATGTTTATGTTGTAATATGACTTTGTCACTAGTCTGGCCAGTGTTTATGTTGTAATCTGACTATCACTAGTCTGACCAATGTTTATATTGTAATCAGACTTTGTCACTAGTCTGACCAATGTTTATGTTGTAATCTGACTTTGTCACTAGTCTGACCAATGTTTATGTTGTAATCTGACTTTGTCACTAGTCTGACCAATGTTTATGTTGTAATCTGACTTTGTCACTAGTCTGACCAATGTTGATGTTGTAATCTGACTTTGTCACTAGTCTGACCAGTGTTTATGTTGTAATCTGACTTTGTCACTAGTCTGACCAGTGTTTATGTTGTAATCTGACTAGTCTGACCAATGTTTATGTTGTAATCTGACTTTGTCACTAGTCTGACCAATGTTTATGTTGTAATCTGACTTTGTCACTAGTCTGACCAATGTTTATGTTGTAATCTGACTTTGTCACTAGTCTGACCAATGTTTATGCTGTAATCTGACTTTGTCACTAGTCTGACCAATGTTTATGTTGTAATCTGACTTTGTCACTAGTCTGACCAATGTTTATGTTGTAATCTGACTTTGTCACTAGTCTGACCAATGTTTATGTTGTAATCTGACTATCACTAGTCTGACCAATGTTTATGTTGTAATCTGACTATCTCTAGTCTGACCAATGTTTATGTTGTAATCTGACTATCACTAGTCTGACCAATGTTTATGTTGTAATCAGACATTGTCACTAGTCTGACCAGTGTTTATGTTGTAATCTGACTATCACTAGTCTGACCAATGTTTATGTTGTAATCTGACTATCACTAGTCTGACCAATGTTTATGTTGTAATCTGACTATCTCTAGTCTGACCAGTGTTTATGTTGTAATCTGACTATCTCTAGTCTGACCAATGTTTATGTTGTAATCTGACTATCACTAGTCTGACCAATGTTTATGTTGTAATCTGACTTTGTCACTAGTCTGACCAATGTTTATGTTGTAATCTGACTTTGTCACTAGTCTGACCAGTGTTTATGTTGTAATCTGACTATCACTAGTCTGACCAATGTTTATGTTGTAATCTGACTATCACTAGTCTGACCAATGTTTATGTTGTAATCTGACTTTGTCACTAGTCTGACCAGTGTTTATGTTGTAATCTGACTTTGTCTCTAGTCTGACCAATGTTTATGTTGTAATCTGACTATCACTAGTCTGACCAATGTTTATGTTGTAATCTGACTTTGTCACTAGTCTGACCAGTGTTTATGTTGTAATCTGACTTTGTCACTAGTCTGACCAGTGTTTATGTTGTAATCTGACTTTGTCTCTAGTCTGACCAGTGTTTATGTTGTAATCTGACTTTGTCACTAGTCTGACCAATGTTTATGTTGTAATCTGACTATCACTAGTCTGACCAATGTTTATGTTGTAATCTGACTTTGTCACTAGTCTGACCAATGTTTATGTTGTAATCAGACTTTGTCACTAGTCTGATTATAATGTTCAGGTTGATGTCGTTTCGTGCTGACCAATTTCAGATTACATTTTAATGCATACTATGTGTCATTTACATCCAAATTATTCCAGGTTCTAGATTAGGAATGCTAGGTTAGGGAAGAGGACAGATGAAAAACCAATAATAATAATAAGCAGGTTGTTTTATTTGGAAGTTTGATTTCAGTTATATTCAGAACCTTTCATAAGCAGGTATTTGATTGTGACAAATGAAATTTATAGCCAGGTGTATATAGACATGTTGTAGACACATCACATTTAAGTCATGTTTACCATTAGCATGAATTGTTTTAATTGTTGCCATTTTATTTTTAAATCTTTTGACAGTGGTTGAAAACGTCGATGGACAATCTGTCTTATACACGAAAACAGTTTGTTTTGAATGAGGAAAGACGAGAAAAGTTGTTACAAAGACAGTATGAACCCAAGGGAAAAGGGAACAGATTCAAACCTGCAGATGTGAAATTTTCCTATACAAAAGCACCAACTTTGAAACTGGACTACTATGCCCATCCTGATGTGTATGCATTAAACCTTACCAACCTTACTGTGGTTGGAAATACCCTGACATTCTTTACACGACAAAATAGTTCAACTTCACAATATGTATGGGTAAGTTGAAATATGCCAATCGGTGAAATGTTTTGAATTCTGTAAAGTTTTAATCTCACCATTCTCTAAGCAATTTTCATCAAGATTTCCAAATATTTTCATGTCTTTGATCTCCTTCGTCATCTGTTTTCAAAATAGATGGTCTCTGGATCAACACTTGATAATCTCCTACTGTCTCTAAATGAGTAATATGACTACTCCCCCTGCTGTCTCTTACTCAGAAATATGATTTCTCCCCCTGCTGTTTCTAAATCTATGATTTCTCCTCCTACTGTCTCTAAATCAGTAATATGATTTCTCCCCCTACTGTCTCTAAAAACCATAATATGACTTCTCCTCCTACTGTCTCTAAAAACCATAATATGACTACTCCCCCTGCTGTCTCTTACTCAGAAATATGATTTCTCCCCCTGCTGTCTCTAAATCAGTAATATGACTTCTCCTCCTACTGTCTCTAAATGAGTAATATGACTTCTCCTCCTACTGTCTCTAAATCAGTAATATGACTTCTCCCCCTGCTGTCTCTAAATCAGTAATATGACTACTCCCCCTGCTGTCTCTTACTCAGAAATATGATTTCTCCCCCTGCTGTCTCTAAATCAGTAATATGACTTCTCCTCCTACTGTCTCTAAATGAGTAATATGACTTCTCCCCCTAATGTCTTTTAATCAGTAATATGACTTCTCCCCCTAATGTCTTTTAATCAGTAATATGACTACTCCCCCTACTGTCTCTAAATCAGTAATATGACTTCTCCCCCTACTTTCTCTAAATCAGTAATATGACTACTCCCCCTACTTTCTCTAAATCAGTAATATGACTTCTCCCCCTACTGTCTCTAAATGAGTAATATGACTTCTCCCCCTACTGTCTCTAAATCATTAATATGACTACTCCCCCTACTGTCTCTAAATCAGTAATATGACTACTCCCCCTACTGTCTCTAAATCAGTAATATGACTTCTCCCCCTACTGTCTCTAAATGAGTTATATGACTACTCCCCCTACTGTCTCTAAATGAGTAATATTACTTCTCCCCCTACTGTCTCTAAATCAGTAATATGACTTCTCCCCCTACTGTCTCTAAATCAGTAATATGACTTCTCCCCCTACTGTCTCTAAATGAGTAATATGACTACTCCCCCTAATGTCTTTTAATCAGTAATATGACTTCTCCTCCTACTGTCTCTAAAAACCATAATATGACTTCTCCTCCTACTGTCTCTAAATCAGTAATATGACTTCTCCTACTGTCTCTCAATCAGTAATATGACTTCTCCCCCTACTGTCTCTAAATCAGTAATATGACTTCTCCCCCTACTGTCTCTAAATGAGTAATATGACTTCTCCTCCTTCTGTCTCTAAATCAGTAATATGACTACTCCCCCTAATGTCTTTTAATCAGTAATATGACTTCTCCCCCTACTGTCTTTTAATCAGTAATATGACCTCCCCCTACTGTCTCTAAATCAGTAATATGACTTCTCCTGCTGTCTCTCAATCAATAATATGACTTCTCCTTCTACTGTCTCTAAATCAGTAATATGACTACTCCCCCTACTGTCTCTAAATCAGTAATATGACTACTCCTCCTACTGTCTCTAAATCAGTAATATGACTTCTCCCCCTGCTGTCTCTAAATCATACATATCATAACTTCCCTTTAACATTTAAGCTAGGACAATGAAAGTTAGTGTTGATCATACTAAGAATGTCTGCAGTATTATAAACTTGGGGTTTGGAAATTGCAACCCCTCAATGACAGAATAATTGCCCTTTGTAAAAATTTGTGTCTGATCAAGTATTTATTTGGCGTTATAGGTAGATGTTGGTATCTGTATGAGATATAAGGTATAGGATTTAAGCATCTGCTACAAGATTAGACCAAATATGATACCCTCAACATTGCTGTCCTTGTAACTGGCTCAATCCTTTACCATTTCAGGCCATTGATCTTACATCGAAGGAATCTTTCCTTGCCTGCAAGGATATGCCAGTGGCATACACAAATTATAAATTCATCAGTTTGCCAGTTCGTAACAAAATTCGTCATACCATTCCGGATGCAACCATCTTGCTCGATCATACGTAAGATGTTTTAAAGCAGATCTATCTCAGACAGGTTTTTTTATTAATATCTAGATGAATTTAAGAATGAAATCAAATAAAACATAAAATGAACAATGATGCTTTCTAAGGCCAATTTTCCATTGGTCGAAAAGGTGTTCTTTCTTCGGAGAACATAACTTTCCTGATGTTTTTCTGATACCATATCATATTAAAAGATTAAGATTTATATGTCCAGAACAGTAATGGCTATCTTTTCAAGGAGTTATGTTTTGTCTTGTTTCGGAGAAGAGAATAAAGTCAAGAAAAATAATTACAATGAAAAAAAATGTGTGGAAAGATAATTGTGGTCTTTTATATAACTTCTACAGAAAAATGCTTGAAATCTTTGGTCATACCAGCATGATATGAACTGTTAAAAAACCTTTTTTGAGTAGAAATATGCTTTTTTGGATGTGGTAAGCTTCTCAGGTCACTTTTTGTTTGTCGTCTTGTCTGTAAACTTTATACATTTTTTACTTCTTTTGGAAAACCCCCAAACTGATATCAATGAAACTAAGTAGAAACCTTCCATAGCCAAAGATCAAGCAAAATTATAATTTACATTGTCGTCATCCCCAGCGTCCTGAGGGGCAGGGACTAAATGGGTAAAATTTGTCAAAATTTTTAAAATCTTCTTCTTAATACCTAAATATTAATATTGTAGAATCAAATACTCTTATTGGATGAATGGTCTTGAGGCACTTTACCAAAATTGTAAATTTCATGACCCCAGGGTCTCACCTTTCCTCCTGGGAAAGGGGTAAAATTTACTATTGTTTATCCAGGAAATTTACATTTTTTGAAGATAATTTGTATATTTTCTGTTGGAAATAGTTCAGACCTGGTCAGAATCTCTAGTTCAGATGACAATCAGATGGATTCCAATTCTGTCATTTATTAAATTTGTTTTATAGAGGAACTCCAGGTTTCACAGTGATGGGAGTAAAGCATTTAGGAGAACAACGGGTATCTGTCACTTGTCCACGGACAGACACGTCTACCTGTGCTGATATACAAAGAATGTTTATATTCGGAAGCCAGTTAATTGGTATTTCCTATAACAGCAGGTAAAATTTGACAAATGTATCTATTCAATAATAATGCCTGATTATAGATCAACTTTTGTCTGCAAGTTAAGTAGAGCTACTAATGAATGATGGACCAATCAGAGACAAGAATTTTCATGTTGGCCAGCTGTCTGGTTTTAATGTATCTTTACTATACAACATTGACTTAAGCAGAGGTGAGATATTTTAACACAAAGATTGTGGTAATGACTGACTCAAAGATTTACATTATCATGATATTATACCTTGGTCCCTACTTGTGCTTTTTAGGTCATCTGACTGAAGGGTCTGATGACCTATTGCGATTGCCTTTTGTCTGGCGTCGTCCGTCATAAACATTTTCAACTCCTTCTCAAGTTCTACATGTCTCATTGAGCTGAAACTTACCTGAAATGATTGTGACATGATCCTGACCAAAGTTTGTTAATTTCAGGTTGGTCCAAAATCCAACATGGCCGCTATCTTGAAAACACATTTTCGACTTCTTCTCAAGTTCAAAATTTGAAATCTTGTATTTTATGTCAGATGACCATTAAGGCCCATGGGCCTCTTGTTTGACAAGTTTTATTTTTAGTTTGTTTGTTGTATAGATTTGAAATAAAACAATAACAGAATCAATGAATGAAACACTTTCAGACAGCTATGGTTATTTGATCAACTGAGGGCCTTGATTAATTAATACTATGAATAAAATCTTGATATTTTCAATGGATGATTTCAGAATCTGGAGCTGGGATAATAAGAACGGCCAAAGAGAGGTAGGCGAGGCATTTACAAGGGTGCGTGACCTTGACCTGATAGGCAATGTCCTTGTGGTCAGTATGGAGAAAGGAATTCAGTTTTGTAGCGTGCCTTGTGACAATGATCATGTGTTTGCTCCACTCCCTGTAACTCTCTCTTCTCAGTTCCAGGGGTAAGTTTTTCTTTCCTCAGTTTTGTGTCTTAGTTTATAGATTGTGTACCTGGTAGGTCTTGAATTTGAAATAATTTCACATTAAGAAGCTATTTGTTGTTTGTGAAATAAATTACCTACGTACACATATCTACATTTCTAAATCATTGTTGTTTTGTTGTCCAGGATCTAGTTGTTTAAAGCATGGTTAGAGTTAACCAGTGATTCCTGAAAAGATTCATATCAGAACAAAGAAAATTGAAAACATTCTTTATCATTTCACAGTAATAGAGTTGAGACAGAACACATTGATGGTTTTTGAATGTCAATTTTTTGAAAGCTTGTCTTTTTTCTGACTAACCAACCTTTCAGCTGCTGCAGATATCTGTGGAATGTATAGGACTCACAGGATATAGAGAGTGGGGAAGTGTGGGATTTAGAGGGTAAAATCTTCTGGGATATAAAGAGTGGGGACTTGTAGAATATTAGTTTGGAACTTCTGGTATGCAGGAGGTGACTTGTGGGATAGACGGTGTCAACTTGTGGTTGACTCGAGGATTGAGACTTCTGAGATATAGTGGATTAGGGCTTGTGGGATTAATTTTGGGGGTTTGAGGGATTTAGACAGTAAGGTCTTACAAGTTTTGAACTATCTCTCTCCGATTTCCCTTCTGATTCTTTTGATATTTTCTTGGATAATCTTATTGTTGTTTTGCTGATGAAGGACTGAACTGACTTTGAACAATGAAGGCACAGTTATCAGCACCAGTAGAATAAAGATAAAAGTTACTGGTACCCAGAAAGAACTCAGAGATGGAAAGGAAATGTATAGGGCTGCAATTTCTCTTGATAACATAGCTGTTGTGATGTTAGTGCCAGCAGATGTATATGGACCAAGGTATATATTGTCTTCATTTCTACACTTCTATAGTATCATCATCATATTGTTTAAAGATTTCTCATGAGGATAAATTTTTACCAATTTTACAAATATTTAAACTGTTTTGTGTTTTTTCTGAAAGTAGTAGTCTGACAAAAACTAGATTTTATGCATAAAAATTTATAGCATTATGTGACGGTATAAACTGTGAAATCTTTATGTGACACTTCAGGAAGTACACATATCGGGACACCATCTAAAAATAAAACATCAACTAACTTATTGACAGATTTTAATGAAATCTGACATTTTTCCCACCTTTGAAATTAAAAGAAAAGTTATTGAGATAACTATTTTTGCAATATATCAGATGTCAAGCTTGAGAAATTATTTTTAAGAATTTGGATGAGATCTGTGATTGTTAATTTCAGGGATAGTGTGAGTCCTATTGAGATCCTTTTGGCTGTGACTCTGCCAGGTCATGGTACTGAGACATGCTTCATAAGTCAGCAAGGTAAACAATATTCTATACTTCTGTGTAATACTCATACTTGAAAGATATGCTTTATTATTGAGTTAAACTAAACTCGCATACCGGGTAGTATTAAGTGCCAGTTTGGCGAAGACACATTAATTTTAATTCAAGATCCTAAACTATGCTATAGACAAAACATGCAGATTTGAGAAAGGGATACACTATTATTCAGTGTGATAATTAAAGACGCTGATAGACTAGCTATAAAGTGTCAGTTAATATGTAGCACTATTTGTTCAGAATGTCTGTCTGAAAGTTTTGAGATCCTAGGTTCATATTCCAAATAATTTTACATATTGAAGGGTGGGATAGAGTTCTGGGATTGCTCAGACTCGCAGACATTATTTGGAAGCTGACTAGGGTGGGGTTGACCACTGTGGATCAAATTGTATAACTCTGAGAGAAAGGTGCAAAGAACTTAGTTAGCAATGTCAACTATATATAAGAACATATTTGTCCTGCAATAAGTCCATGTCTGGTGATAAGTCAATGTTTAGTAATAAGCCCATGTTTAGTAATACTCCCATTTCTTGTAATAAGCCCATGTCTGGTATTAAGCCTTTTTCTGGTAAAAAGGCCATGTCCAGTAATCAAACCATGTCTAGTTATAAGCCCATGTCTGGTGATAAGCCCAAGTCAAGTAATAAGCCCATGTCTGGTAATAAGCCCATTATATTTTCAGAAGAATTACCAACAACTGCTGTTACCATGTATTTGCTGTTGTTGCATGATAATGTCTTTCCTCAGGGCTTATTGAAGGGTAAATCTCGAACACTTTAATGATCATTTTATTTATGACAGACGGAATGCTCATGGGATGGTCACAGCACAACGAGGACTCCATGCATTACCGAGAACACATATTCCAGGTGGATTATGAAGCCCGACTCAGGAGCATACTACCTTTCCTTGGCTATGGGCCACGCTCCCTTTTGCCTGTGTTTCTACCAGGTGACCCAGATATACAGGCCAAACATCCTGGTCATGGACAGCCAGGGTGGTATGTGTTTATGAGGGATGGCTACGAGGGCATCATAGGAGTTAAACTGGTTCATTAGAAGGATGTCAGGAACACTGGAAAAATGATCTTACAAAGCCATTTCTGTATCAATTAAGATTGTTGGAGCTTCCTCTACAAAGACCCAGACCATTTAACATAGTTATTTAACAGTGAGTCAAGGGATTATGGATCAGGATATGTATTCATTGCTTTACGATACTTCACATTGTTCATCTAGTGAGACAATGGTTGTCTGGTCCTACAGAACAGGTAAATTTACCCAAGAAGGGATTTATCAGAACAGGTAAATTTACCCAAGAAGGGATTTATCAGAACAGGTAAATTTACCCAAGAAGGGATTTATCAGACATTTGTAGGGTCTGGTAATGGGCTCCATTCCTAATAGAAAATAGCCAATATTTTCCCAAATTCAACCTTTTTTTCTCCCCCATCAGCATTTTGTATGAGAGAAAGATGAAAGTATTTAAAAGGTTACTCTGTGTAATAATAATATAATAATATACACAATTTGTATGTTGTAAATTTCTATGGCAGAAAAAGTTGAATTTGCACTGTAAAAATAAATTTCAAGTGAATTTCAACTCTAATCCTGGTATATCTGTATATAATACTCTTTGATATAACATACTAATACATTTTGAATCAGTATGTTAATACTTGGTTTTCTTTTTCATTAGTTAATTTTGTTTTATATGTATATATAGCTTACATATGGTGCAATATTGTGTCTACATCTAAGAATTATGTCTGTGTGAGTTTGAATTGGTTTCAATCTTACTTTTTTATGCATTTGAACAAAACACATATTTCTAGCACATTTTTCTTTTATATTTTTTTTATGTTTTTTGGTGTTTGAATTGAATTGTGACAGAAAAAGGTTGATTAGACTGTTTCTGTGATATCAGGGTGGATTATATACTGTTATTAGCTCATAATTCCACATATAAGTATCTTTATGTAGTACATACTTAAAAGTATTATTGCCAAATGCATTTATGTAATTTGAGCTGAACAAACTCTGTAGTGATATTTTGTAACAATGTCGATTCTAAGTATAAGTGGTGCTTATAATCCTGGTTTTTATCTCTTCTGGCCAATTAAATGTGAGTTACCTCCCTTGAAAAAACCTTTCACAACTTGAAGTAATTAGAGGAGAGTATGCTTGTTTTTAACCAGATACTGGAGATGTACCATGTTAAGATAAAAACTCATGATCTGATATCCAGTATATGCATAAAAAAAGGATACTATCACCATTCTAAAATAATTTGAATCTAAACTTAATGAAATTATCACAATCTCAACGAAATTTAACAAAAGCTAAGAGCTTCACATTTTTGTTTGAAATGGCTCTTTACATGTTCTTAGCCAATCAAAATGTTCCTTTCCACTATCATTAACGCAGAAGTTCCGCCTACTTTCCAGTCATATTGTCAATAGATACAAAAAGGCACAAAATGTATCCCTATATGGATTATCTGTCTAAGTTGTTGTATTGTTGATTCCTGCTGTATATACCTGAAATTTGTTATGTCAATCTATTGAATTTTTTTATGTGTGTGTTTAGATCAATTTATTTCCATTGAGGGCAGACATTCTATGATAAAGTTTCCTTGTGAGATTGAGATGTTACAAAATGTCAATCTGAGATACTCTTGCCTGAAAACAATCACAGATAATATTTTCTTTTTTGCTTTTAGAAATTTTGTTAAAATTGCATGAAAATTGCATCTACTTTTTTTCTTTCTGATTTATTTGATAAAGTAGATTACCTCTCTTGTGGGTTACATGTAAACATCAAAAAAAAAATTGAATTTGACATCTTCATTTTTTAATTTTGACAACAATTCATAACAAATATTAAATCAATGTACTAGACATAAGATTACTGTCTGATGAGGAGATAACGCATTCAGGATTGGTTTTACACCAAACTCACGTTAACTGGTAATGCATGGTTCCAATGTTTCTTGATGTGGAAGACAAGTAAAATACCTGTAAAATCTATGTTGCCAAGTGATACATCATCACATCCAACCAAGATACCAAACTTGGGATGGGAGAATCCTTTATTTTATTGTTCAATAAGAACATCGCTATTAAAATTGAACAAACTTTTTTTGCTGCTACTGTCTGTTTGGGATTTTCACTCAAAGATTTCACTGCATTTAACTTTTGCACTTGAACTTACACTTTTTCATCTTAATTCATATAAAAAAAATTGCAATTTATTTCTGTTAAGAAATCCATCGAAGAAAATAGAATGCAAAAGGTTGTTATAAATTTACTGTAATAGTAATAATCATTAATGTGCATTGTAGTTCAAAATTTGTGGATGTTTTGCTATAGGAATGTTTACATGCTTCAAATTTGTGGATGTTTTGCTATAGGAATGTTTACATGCTTCAAATTTGTGGATGTTTTGCTATAGGAATGTTTACATGCTTAGGAATGTTTACATGCTTTATACCTATTTTTTAGTCATGATCTTTTATTTATATTGACGTATATTCATGACAGTCTATATTGATGACTTCTGAACATTTAAATGCTTGACGAGGGTTTATATAACTTCAATTGTATTATGGGATAAGTTATGGTTATAATTGATATCAAATGAAGGTCCAAAATATTAAAACTGTAATATAGGTCATGTTTTTTGTGCTCTTTAGTTAAAGTTTTTATGTCACTACCAATTCTCATTCTAATTAACAATTATTTATAAAGCAACACATCGGTCATTAGTATGTAAATAAATTTCTTCATGAATAGATTTCATGTCCAGCAAAAAATGAAGTGTATTTCCTGGTTAAGGAATAAGATCTTGATCATTTACTGATAACTTCTTGCTTTGAGGGTTGAAGATGGATAATTGGACTCTGGATAAGTGTCAACTTGGAAGAAATAAAAGCATGTGTTGACATTATGTATTTGTTGTACTTGTTTTTTTACATAGGTAACAGTGTCAATTATTGGTGAAAATACTTCACACATTTTATGATCTCATTTAATTCTGTTTGAAGTTACTTAAATTAACAATGTATTACTTCCATATACATATAAATATTTACATGGAAGAATCTGAATGACTCTGATTTAAAAAAAATTAAGATTGATATCAATGGTATCTGAATGATTATAATGTTCAAGCTTAAGCTGAACCAAGATTTACCAGAAAGTGTCTTTGCGACCTGGATTTCTAAGCTTAAAAGTGACCAAGGCTGACATAAATAGTACCTGCTTGACTGATTGTAAACATTTTACACACCACTCAAACATTTGACAAAATATTGTATGGTGTTGTATGTTGTAAATTTTTATTTGTATGGAGATCTCCCACAGCTTTCAACCGATCACTTTCAAACTTGATAGGATTAATAGTCATATGAGGAAGTGGTGTTTTTCTGAATGGCAGTTTGATTTGGAAGAGTCACTGTCCATTATTGTTTTCATAATGTGATTTTTTTTCTTGAGATCTGCTCTTTCAGTTTTTGACCAATTTCTTTCAATTTGCTAGGCATAATTGCCATGACATTAAGTTGTGTCTTCCTGAATGGCAGTTTGATTAAACCATATTTGGAAGAGTTACTGCCCCACATTGTTTTCATAATGTTAATCTTATCTCGAAGTCTCCTCTCTCAGTTTTCAAACAATTTCTGTCAAGTTTGGTTGATCTAATTACTCTGACATAAAAGTGGATTTCCCTTCACTGCAGTTTGGTTCAATATTTAAAAAAAATCATCGCTTGTTGTTCTTTTCAGCATTTAAGTCCTGTGATTTTTTCAGTTTTCATCAATCTGATTAAATTTTGGTAGGCATTAAGTTATCATTAAAACATATTTTTTTCTGTTTCTCCTTTTCTCTTTTCTTGACATTTTTATCTATTATTACCATTTACACATTTGTAATCTTTTCTTTGGTACCCTTGATATATGTAGATAATAGTGACTACTAGAATGACCTGGATTTTCAAGCTAACTGGATACAAGATTGAAAATAATTATTTCAAGGATTCAGGATTTAATGTTTTTACTGACAAAAATTTACATGGAATCATATGAATGCTTGTCATTTTAAGTTTTAAATGGCAAAGATTTAAAACGTTGGAATGAATCAGATTGTGATTTGAAAATGATCAGCTGGTACTGTGTTTGCTGATTATAATTGCAGTATATTTGAGGTCATATTACAGACATGATAATGGGAGGGGTTTTATGTTTTGGCTGTTTTCAGAAATTGTGAATAATGGATACTATGAAGATAAAAATATTTTAGATAACCATGACTTAGTCGGTTTCATGTCGTGGGTGTAGTTAAAAAATTCAGTTTGTTTCAAGCTTTAGGAAATCTGAAAAAAATAAACCAAGTTACAGCACATGTGATGACATGGCAATGTCTACAGTCTTATAAAGATCTAAACTTAAATTTTTATTTTCTGTTTAAGTGGTAAGAAACAATAACATTGCAATGGGGTATACTTACCAGGGATTTCTGTCCTTGAAATGTACTTGTTTATCATGTTAAACCAAAGCTAATTGTTTGTCATACATTTTAGGTGTCATTGGTGAAATAGAGGAACCTATCACTGCAGAATGCATGGTTTTGTTTGTTTCCTACCTACAAATATATTTACTCACTTATTTGGCATCATAATATCATGGAAACATTCAAGCTTCAGGGTCATTGGGTCAAGGCCAATGTTATTATTTTTAGAGAATCACTGTCAGTGCTCTAGTGGCTTGAAGAATTCTCATCAAACTTTTTATGATTATAAAGCATAAAATCATCTTGGACAAGTGTGAGTTTCATGGTTGCTAGGTCAAGGCCAAAGTCACTTGTGGAGGGTCAGAATGGGTCATGTATTGCTTCAGCAATACTCAATATCACTGTTATTCCTTCAGGGGTCTGTGTGTAAACCCATGTAAAATGTTTCCTTAGACTAAAGATTTTCACAGTGAAAAGTGCACATTAAATCAAGTACATTTCTATTAATCATGTCAGCAGAATTTGTATTACAATATCATGTGAAATTATTTATATATAGAAACATTTGCTATCAATATATTTAATCATCATAATCAGTGGAGACATTGAACAACATCTCTTGCAATCTTCACGAGTGACAACTTAAATTTCATTCAAATGTGTTCACCTTTTACTTACAAGGCAGATTGTAGAAGTTACCATTCAGTGAATTTACCTGTATGTAGATGATGCTTTTGATGCGAAGGAAAACCAAATAGCAGTACAATGCTTCAGTTTATCATCTTTCAATTGCCATCTTGTTATAAAGGGAGGACATCTCAGGTTTAGCTCACCTGCCCAAAATGTCAAGGGTGCTATGAAGGGCTACTGGCTTTGTTCAAATAAATGACCTTGTCAACCTACTATCAAAGTCACAGGGGTAAAATCTGAAGAACCAAAAGGTGCAGACTACTGATATTAGGCCTACAGCATGATGGGAAGAAGGGTTAGGGGAATAAAATGTGTCACAATATCCAACAAATTCTTTTCAATAACCAAAAGTTTCATTGTGCCAATGTAGGACTTGTAGTGAGTTGAGATGATAGACTACTATATTTTTTCTAATTACCTTCAACAAATGTGTTAAAATATGCAAATGACTTCTCGATAACTTTTAAGGTTCATGGTACTGATGTAGGGCCTGTAGCATGTAGAGTCCATCCATCCATAAACATTTTTTGTTATCGCTATTCCTGGAGAATTTCTGGATAGATCTTTCTCAAATTTTATATGTAGGTTCCCCTTGATTCTTAGTTGTGCTTTGATTTTGAGTCTGATGATGAAAACAAAATGGCTGATAGGTGGCCATCTTGGATTTTTTCAATGAAGTTTGTTATTGCTATTTCTTTACAAGTACTAGATGGATATTTCTTAAATTTCAAATGTAGGTTCCTGTTGGTCACTAGTTGTACCTTTCTACTGTTTGGACTGATCAGAAAGACAAAATGGCCAAAGGTAACCACTTTCCATTTGGTTGGTAAAGATTATCTTCACTATATATTCAAGTTAAAATTTCTCATCATTAAGAGCAAACACAGAGAAAAGAAGAGAAAAGAAGGGAAAAGATCCAACTTTCAAAAATGCAAATAAAGATCAAACAATGATGAATGCCATGATCCTTCTGGGATAATTTGATTTCAAATGATCTTGACCCATTTTCAAGGTCAAATGATTCAAATGTGTTAAAAAATTCAAATAACCAAAATTGCTAAAAGCACTGGTATTGGAGCTTTATTATGCTGGAATGAAGCTATCAAATATGTTGAAATGGTCGACCTTAACCCACATCCAAGAGATCAAATTTGTTTAACACTCCAAAACAAAAGACTTCTCACCTAAAATCAAAGGCCAAAGGTGATATTAGGCCTTAATATGCTGGGATATAGGGCTACCAAGTTTGATAAAATAAATGACCTCGATGCACTATCAAGGTCACACAGGTCAAAGAGTTATAAACAACTTCTAACTAACCACAAGACACAGAAGCACGATATCCAGCTGATAGGCCTGTTGGATGAAGCCTGACAAAGTCTACACTAAAAACAAAAAGAAAAATGAAAAAAGGGAAAAATGACCTTGAACCATATTCAATATCACAGAGGTCAAATTGACAAAATTGTTAAAGACTTCTTCTGATAAACCAACATTCAAGGAAGAATGATATTTGGTGGAAAGATGTTTCTAGGTTAAAGCCACCTTGTTCTCATTTGAGAACATGGCATTACTCATTTGGATTCACCAAGGTTTACATGACGAGTGCCGTTGATAAAGCAGAAGACACATTTTCTCTTCCAGAGCACCTTGTCTGTTTTCCTTATACTTTTTCAGAAGTCGCCATATAAATTTTTTCATTTGTACTTTGCCCTAGTTTTATTATGTTGACATGTTGGTTTTTCTTCATATCATTCATATTAGCTGACATCCTCTTTCCGTTTCAATAAATTTTTTAAAAAGTGTAAAATATGAACTCTTTTATTGAAATGGTTTTACGTCCACTTTCGTGTAACTCCATTGAAACGGTTCAGGTGGTCTGGAATTATTTCACTATAAAACAAACACCTATGTACCGGATGTCGTATAGAAGTTGAGAGTACAGGTTGCCTTTCTAGAATCAACTATTGGGAATTTCCCTTTAGTCAAATGGTAGTGTCCAGCTAGATAGTTAAGGGCTAGTTCGAACCCCAGCGGTGGCAGAGTGTTTTTTTATTACTCCTCCCTCTTACAGATTTGGTGTGCCTTTGCCCACTCCAAGGATAGAAGCTATAGGAGATTGAGATGCCTCTTGGAGATAATGAACCATGGTTGTTGTTTTCCTCGAGGTCGAAGACTTTGTGAAGGAGGGAGTTGTATAGAAGGTGAGAGTACATGTTGCCTTACTAGAATCAACTAGTGGGAATTTTCCTTTAGCTGAGCGTAGAGTGTCCGGCTAGAGACCGAAGGATCGCTAGTTCGAATCCCAGCGGTGGCAGAGTGCTTTTCATTACTCCTTCCTATTACAATTGGACCTGATATATTTAAAGTTCATAAATGCACTGAATCGGAATTTCCTGCCAAGCATAAAACAATTAGCTAAGATTAAGCTACCATTCATTTCATTATGATATCTTAATTTTAGGTAGTTATTATAGTGGAATAATTCCAGACCACCTGAACCGTTTCAACCGGGCTACATATGTACGTTAACACGCGACTTCGAATGCAGCCGTAGTTTCGGACAGGTTCAGCTGGATCCCCTCAATATGCACGTGTAAGATATTCCGTAGTCCATCCTCGGTACCAATCTTTACCATGCGTTTTTCCGGCAATTTCAACTGGTCATGCCATTTTAACCGCCTACGCGAAAACGACCTTAAAGTTCGAATCGATAGACCGCTTGAGGACTGTTCAGTATTCACTGCGTAACTGACACGTACTTCCGGTGTCACAATCGTCTGAAAGAAGACCACCAGGATGCCGAAAGAAAACAGCTTGCGTGATAAGTTAGAGGGAAATGAACTGGACCTCAGCTTAAACAACTTAAGCGTTGTTCCTGTTAAGGAACTGGTCAGTATTTGATACATTTAGCCGAAAAAATTTGATTACATGTGTACTTTCTTTTCCCCAGCGTGTAACACGGACATCTCATTGTGACTACTTTTTCACACTGATAAATCATAATTTAATCATCTCTATTACATCTATTTGTCGTTAAACAAAACAACAGGAATGGGACGTTCTGTGTGTGAAATATATTTGTATGCACCAATAAACACGGTTATTTATATACTGAGAGAAAAAGAAGCAACTAATTTTTACTTCGAATATTGAACCATTCTTCTTCAAATTTTCTGAGATTTTTAACAAAATGAGGACTCCATTAGGAGGCCATGACATGGGGTACTCTAATGTACACAAAGTTGAAAGTTGTCTCACTAATCCCTAATATTTCGGGTGTCCTCCCCAACAGCTAGGGTCTCTAATTGTGCGTGGCATGGAGTTCATAAGTAATATTTTTGACTGTCCATATGTCCATAGAAGAATGTTGTTCCACCCCCTAGGTAAGAGAGTTGATCAATTGGGGATGGGGGTGTATGTTTGCTTGATTCTGAACTCTTCTGTCTTATTCATCCCACACATGTTTGATTGGGGACAAATCAAGGCCTAATGGAAGCCAGTCAATAGGGATGATATTCTGGGTTGCAAGAAAGTCCCTACAAGCTCTTGCAAAGTTTTGGCCTAGCATTATCATACTGAAAGGTAAAATGGTACCTGTTAATGATCACTAAAGGTGTCTTTGGCCCATAGCAAATTTCTTCCCAAAACAAGCCTACTGGCATTGTGTGTTTAATGTCAAATGAAGTCACAATGTCAACTGGTCCTGTGCTGATTGAATTGAAAAAAATGCACCCCAGCAATCATGAATTTATCAATGGTAACTGAAAATGTTCATTGCTTTCATTGAGTTTTGATATTCTGCCCTTTGAATAATACAAATATATTACTTATGCTTCCTTTCCCCATCATTTCAGTGCAAGGTCACATTTCTAAAATACTTGATAAAATCCTAGATATATAGAAGGAATTTGTTTACTGTTGATTATTATATATGTACCTTACATCTTTAAGTATACATCATTCAAATTATTTGAAAAGTGAAAAAAGCTGAAATGTTTTGAATAATTCCACATAGAACTCCCAACTAAAATTTTCTTTATCAGTGGCCATGAGAACCTGAAGTAACTATGAGTGCCCTACCTTTTTCACGATACATGTTTGTTTTTAAATGTTTACAACATATGATTTCAATTGTGTTTCAATGTTCCAGGCAGCCTTACCAAAAGCCACACGACTGGACCTCTCTTGTAATGCTATACCAAGCCTTCCTGTAAGTTTTCATTATTTCTTTATATTAAGAACAGTTTGAGTTGTTATAAATGTCATTGATTAATGATTATGTTCTGTGTTCTCCACTTACTTATTTGAGTCTATTTTCATTTTTCAATCAGTGTCAGGAAAGTGTTTTGGTTTGATGGAATGATGTTGTTGTCAACTGTTTTACTCCTACATTGTAACTGTTGGATGTGAATAAAAAGCAGTATTCATAACTTTTATCCTTTGATCTGTAGGATGCCTTCTGTAGCCTCATTCACTTGGTGAAGATAGACCTGAGTAAGAACCAGCTGCAAGAACTGCCACATCAGTTCGGTCAGCTTCAAAATCTTCAGCATCTAGATCTTCTAGGAAACCAGCTCTCCGTCCTCCCAATCAGCTTTTTCCAGTTGCGTAAACTCAAATGGCTTGATCTCAAAGACAATCCCATGAAAGAGGATCTAAAGAAGGTCGCAGGTGACTGTCTGGATGAAGCTCAGTGTAAAAAGTGTGCCCAGAGGGTAAGATTTTTTAAGATAATGGAACATTTATAAGCTTATATTGCCTTAGAATTATATTATCACCCAGGTTTTATTTTAGCAATGAGGGTCTTGAAATGCTAAATAAATAAGTTTAATTTGTGCTCAGACACCTGTGAAAACAAAAAATGTATGTGTATGCAATTCTGACTGCTGAGAATCTTAAGGTCTGCTTATATAACCGGTGATGGTCAACTTTCAATTCAGTACTCATTTGGCTTTAAAGTTATTTTGTAGGTTGGCTTATTGGATTAAAACTTAACGTTAATGATGACAGATTTGTTGTTGTGCATTTTAAAGAATTTTATGGGGGAGAATCCTCAATATATTATTTTTTCTGTTATCCAGGTTTTAGACTACATGAGAGGAATCAATTCTGCTGTGGAAAGGGAAAAACAGAGAAAACTTACCATTCAACGAGGTTGGTTTTGTTTTTTCAGGACTTGTTTACTTAAAAAAATTCCATATGAAAACATTGAAAGTTTGAGAAATGCTTTAGCTACTGAAGTAGATAAGCTACTCAATAATTGTTTTTGACAAATGCTCAAGTTCTTTCCCCTGCCATTTTATATGGAGGGTTGGGATTGAGGTTGGTGCTGCCTGCTGACTTAGAAGAACATTAGTATGTGCACACTTATGTGCAAATCTGAGATGTGTGGTTTGACATTACTTATGGAGGTTTGTTTCTCAGGGTGCTAAGAAAGCAACCATTCTGTACTCCAATTGTTGTGCCTTGTACAAGGCGCTTAACCCAGACTGCTCTGTGACAGGCCTCCTGTATGTTATTAATTGGGGTAACTACCAGTTACTACAAGGCATTCTGATCTCCCAGAGTTACTGCCCTTCGTTTTCACCCTGTCAGATATTATAGGGTTATGCTTGACAGCTGATGGGGGCCGAGAATACTACAAGGAGACCCTGTCTCAAATGAACCTGGGTTTTACAGGGATGATAATTAACCAAGGCATGCAAACAATCAAACAAACAGAGTATCGGTAGGTTGTGTAATGATGTTTTTCCATGCCATCCCGTCCAAACATTTCATGTCCAATGTTCATACATGTATTATGTAACAACTGCCTTTGTTGGTATTTTGATAAAAACTTATACAAAGACCAATTTTGTGAGTGCATTTGTGTGTTAAGTCTCACACATACTAACTACACAATACAAGTAAATGTGTGTGATTTCCAAACTTTAAGTTCTCAGGTTCCTTATTTCAGAGATCAAGTTCACAATTGCTTTTAATAGCAAAGGTTGAACTTAATTGTATTAAAGCTGAGTATTCATATCAGATGTCTGCCATCTACCTTCTGTTAACTGTGATAGCATTAATTTCTGTAGGGGATTTAGTTTTGTTCAATTGATGGGTACTCTGAATCTACAAATTTGTATGTAATACATGAAATGTTGATGTGGATTATGGTGAGCAAAATTTAACCAAGAAATCAAGTGTCAACAAAAATGTCAATTTTTGGAAAGCCACAAAATTTTACAGAATTTTACATTTACCTTGGACTTATCCTGCTGTCTCTCTCATTTCATTTTGATAATAGAGTTTAAGGGTCTAATCAAGCTAAATCTCAAATGCATTGTTTGTTGCGATACACCTGGTATATTGTATTTATAGTCCATCATCGGCATTTATAAATAAATTATAACACAGGAACATGTTTACTTTTTTAACAACAGAGAAAGAGGCAGCAATAAAGGCTTTGGAGGAAGAAGAAATGCAACTCAAACGTGAAAGGCGTAAACAAGCTAAGGCAGAACGTCAGCGGCAGTTACAGGAGGAACGACAGATGATAAACAACAGACACCAGGAGAACAACTATGAGGAGGAAGAGGAAGAAGGTGAGAATCTTATCTGAAATAAGATTAAGTTATATATTTAAGTCTTTAACTATACACAGTCTAGCTTTATTTCTGATCCCTCTTTTGCAAGTCTAAACGATTGACAAATGAATTTTCCACTTCTGATAAATGGGAATGCTATTTTCAATTCATTGTATTGTCCGTTCCTTATTTGTAAATTTATTGAACCTAACCCTTTCCATGGTTTTCAGTCGATGAGGTTGAAATTGATGGGAATCAACAGACACCGTCTCATCAAAAAGGTAGAGTTGCTTCCCTTTAATGATATTTTGTAGATTGTTTGCAGAAACTGTTTAAAGGAAATTCAATCTGATGAAAACCAGAACTTTATCTATTTCTGGTTTGTTACACTGCATTAGTGTACATGTACAAAGTGAAATTTGGATATGACTTCAATAAACATCTTACTGGAATATTTAAGGAATTTGAATGACTCAGTTTATACTTGATAAGAATGGTGAGATAAGACAGGTTCTCAGATAAATGTAAAATTTGTTTCATCCAAAGAGATTCACAAAAAGAAAAAAGATCCCAATTTTCGTAACTCCCAGAGGATTCATTATAATCATGTGCTACAATACATACCTGTTTTATAAATCTCAATCGAAGGGAAACTGGTGTGAGAGCCTCTATACAGAAAAAATATTAATTTTTGAATTGCAGGCAGTGGGTGCTGTTCCTGGATATTGTGGATGGCAATGTTCACGATGGTCATTGCTTTATTGGTTGGAACTTTTAGTATTTACCAGAAGGATATTGAAGCTAATCCAGTCTACAGTCAGCATGTGAAACCTGTCTGGGACAAGTATGGAAGTCCGTATTGGAACACTTATATCATACCACCTTGGAATATGTATGGTGATCCAACATGGCAAAAAATGAAATCATTTTGTCTGGAAAAAACCAAAAAGCTGCAGGATTTCATCAATACGAAATTATCATCAAAAGATCAAAAGAATAAAAAATTAAAAACAAAGAAATCTAAGGGGAATAATGGTAGCTGATAACAGGCAATGTATTTGAAATGTCTGTGTTGTGGAGTACTGAAGAATACTTCGCAAGTCCTACTTAAAGGTACTGGGTTCATGCTTAAGACTGAAATTTCTTTTGTAAAATTTGCATACTGGTTGTTTAACGACCTGTTAAAGATTTTGTTAAGCTATTGGTTAGATGACAGTTTCATTCCATTGGCTGAAAAATAATGAATATAACAGGATTACTGGACACTTGATTTTAGTGAATAAAATAAGTGTTTTTTATTTGTAAGATCCTTTGTTTATAATATTAGATTATATTGCATGATGCCAATAAATTATAATGGTATTATTAATTCATTTAGACAGAGTAACAAATTTAGATTATTGTCTAGTTTACAATTTGGCCACACATATATGTGATATACAGCAAAATATATTTAGATTTACATGGAAAATAATGTTTTCACTAGGACAAAGTACAAAGGATGCAATTTAACTAAAACACATCGATCGACCAAAAATGATATAGATAAATTATGCTGTGAGATTGCATCTAGAATTGCATATTGTAATCTTTTGAAAATGATTATGAAATTCATATTTTCATACTGCTGTTTTTCTACAAGCATCATGTGTTTAGTTAAAAATTGTCTTATATATTTTGATGAAAATTTGTGGAGTACGATTTTGTGCAATTTAATGTAGTTAGTTAATAACTGTCAGATAAAAGAATTAATCTTGAACTGAATTAATTTTAAAGTGACATATTGGTATTATTTTTGAGTAATTATGACAAGAAAATGATCCATTGATAAAAATATCAGAATAGGTTTTGTTTGATGTAGGACTCAAACAAGTAAACATGGTCTTAAAATAATGGATAAAATAAGATAGAATTGTTGACATTGCTCTGAAAGTACTGACAAATGATTTGATTCAGAAGTGTTAAAATTTAACCAATTTCCCTAGAAGAGTGCTGGCATGCATACAATTATACTGGGGACTGCTACATACATCATATGCTTGTTTCTATTCGTAAAAAACTGTTCAAAAGACTTATTAATGACAGTCTGCCTCAATAAAAGTCTTTGAATGTGATATATATATGTTTTGTTTTAAATTGAGCTTGATGATAGTATCAGTACGCTAAATCTTTTATTTTTTCAAACTATTAATTCTTACAAAAGTAGAGGATAGTGTTGAAAAAGAAATTGAATATTGTCCTGAAAAGTCTGTTTGAGCTATGTTAAAGATCATCCTCAAAAGTCTAGGTGTTACAATCCCTAAAAGAACATCTTGGGCCATTGAAAGTTTCTTTGAAAATTTCATGCTCAAATTTTCTTAACAAAACCCTAATTGTTGACAAATACAATTTAAATATTCATAATTTCTGCAATGGTTTCATTGCTGTATTTTGAATACAATAATTTCATACTTGCTTTACCGTACCAAGATTGCACAACACATGCCATTCAGTTGTGTTGCCCTTTTGTTTGATTATTGAATGTCAATCTGTTGCTAATTAATTGAAATCCGTAAATTATCAAATTTTACCAGTTCAAAGTTTTCATTTTTCTTTCTGTGTCAATAACATTTTGTTTAATAATCAACTTATTAAATTACAAGTTTTCTTTGGCAATCATTTTGAGACCGATATTTAATGAATTTCTTGTAACAAAGTCTAAAAATGAAAATATTTTGAATAATTCAAGAGGACATACAAAGATTTGAATTGTAAATTTACATTCCAAAAGTAAACATTGCTCACTTTAAATTATTCACAAGGGTCATACTGTGGGACGAAACCAGAGTAACTGTTAATACCACATGTTTTCACTTCTATTCAAGAATTCAACCATGTGACGCTGGAAAAGACAACTTGTTGCCAAGTACCAGATAAGAGATTCAAGGTTCAATTTACATTCATGAATATGATTGAGATTTCTTACTCCTTTACCCTTTCATGTAGAATCCTAAACCTCATTTAGTGTTGCGTCTTGGGAAGCTGATTTGTATCAAACAACTTCTAGATCTGCAGAAATCTTAAAACAAAAAAAAATATATATATATGTGTAGAATTTCTTCAGTTCAGTGTCATGCAAGATTCTTGAACTTTTAAATAAAGAAATAAAGAGCTTTGATATTGTGTCAAAAGGAAATGGATGGTCCCCCTAAACCATCATTTTAAACTGATTTTAAATAGTAAGTTTTTTTATTCTTAACAAGTCACTATTTTTGAAATACATACATAGATCTATCAAAAAGCAGTCAGTAGCTGGACTCAATATTAAAACATTTTTACACTGTTCATTTAGTCATATCACAAGACATGATCTGCCACATCCTTGAGACTTTGTAATGAATGTTTAGCCTGAGAAAGGTTTGTGTGTACATTGTTATTGGGTATCAAATGCCAAGTATGTGTGTTTGTTATTTCATATGTATCTAAAGCATGAATGCTGATTATGTCATATATAATATGAACATTGTCAAATCCTGAATTTAAAAACATTTGAAAGATGCTTTTTGCTTGAAGAACAAGTCTTAATATTTTTGTAGCATACTGGGTGTTTGAGGAGAAGTTATAAAGATATAACGCAAAGGTTACAAGATAGCGTATACAGCTTCATCTCAACCATTTGATCATTGTATGGTACATCTTTTGATGACGAAAGATGCTAAAAGTATTGACAAATTTTGCTTGCTGTATGAGTGGTCAATCTTATTATCAGAATAATAAAATATTTCTTATTCATAAATTGAATCTGTAAATATCACCATATAATTCTCGGCTTCAGAAAGTCTAGCTTTGATTGCTTTAATCAGAAATTGATAACTTATTATTAATCATATCACAATATGGAATTGAGAACTACTATCATGACAATAGCGTCTAATGGGTTGATTTCATCACACACACAGTGTTCCTCATTACCCCTGAATGGGTAATCATGAATTGGTGAAATTCAATACATGTACCCTTGGTTTTGAAGGACACTTTTATATCATGTATTGTTAACACAATTTTGGTGTATTATAATAAGGTTTAACGTTTACCTATAGAATCGCATATCATATTCTGTAATTGTATTCAATACTTCAAAATACAAGAGAGGAAACTCTCATGGAAATATTGCCATTAGATAGCATAAACAGAATATCTTACTTTAGCCTTGTAACAGAAATATTTCTCAATCAAAATTCACCAGTTAAGTGTTGACAGTGCAATCTTAATGGTGAAAATATATAAAAGAGAGACGACACTGGTTATTTAAAACTGAAAACTGTTTTCATTATTGAAAAACCCACGCAGTGACATTAAAGTGGTATTGTTTGTTATAATATTTATTAGGGAAATGTGGGTAATTATGCTTCAAATTGTGTTTATAACCTGCATAGTGTTTGCTAGCTTTATCATTGCCATCATAGTTAAAATGCTTAAAACAGATAAGAAAGTGCCTGTTTTATGCTTATCCTTTTTGAATTTATTTTCACTTTTGTTTTATGATCATACACTTCAGATATCATGTTGACTATATCTGAGAATGATTGAATTGTATTTTGAAATTTGAAATAAAACATTTGAAATTTTACTTGGTGTTCTGATTAATTCATTGATTGATTGCACTGGCTCTGACCATTCTCAATATATAAAGATTTTCTTAGGTCGAACACGTATTAACCATGTAATAGAAATTTTAACCATAACTAAAAAGTGATTAAATGAACAATGTGTGAGATAAACTGCATGACAAGGATTATTCTGAATGTAGCATGGTATCTAAAGAAAACTGGCAATGTTTTTGGGCTAATAGGTTCCTTGCATGAAGCTTAAAATTCCTATGTTTGCAGGAAGAAATTATCCTTTTCAAGGTCACAGATGTTGTCAAAACACAAATAAATGACTTCTGATTAATCAAAAGAGCTAGAATCTAAATATTAGGCAAGCATGGATTGGGAATAAATTCTGACCAAATTTGTGAACAAAAGTGACCTTGACACATTAAAGGTTGCAGAGGAGAGATTGATTAAAACTTTAATTTATGATGAATCACACATGAAACCTGATATTTAGTATTAATTAACGTTGTTAAAAGATATGACCTTGCCAAATTTTCAATGTCATGTTTGTTATAACTATAAAAAGGTATAGAATCTTGATATTTAACCAAACTGTTGCAGCGAAAAGACCCAAGTTTGCTGAATGGAAATGACCTTGACCAAGACTCAAAGTCATAGGCGTCAATTTTGTGAAACACTTACATATACATAGAGGTCTTTCTCTGATCAGTCAAAACAGTCTAAGAACTTCACATTTGTCCAGAATGTTTCAGGGCTGAAACCCATCAATGTGGTGTAAGCAAAATGACCTGGGATTATAACAGTCAGAGAAATCATTTTTTAAACGTCACTTGATTAACCAAGAGGCAAAGAATCATTATATCTCATGAAAACATTTGAGGGATGATACTTACCCTGTTTTATGAAAAGATAAGACCTTGAGCAATATTTAATGTCATCGGTGTCAGATTTGTAAAAATGCTAAAAAGAAGTTTTTGCCAGATATACTTGCAAAAGATATTGAATTCCATCTGCAGGCAAGTTGGTTCTCTTGCCTTACACTAAAAATAATAAAATATTTTTTATTTAGTCCTTGTCAAGTAATGTCTTCTGAGACATTTTTTTCAATATATATGTTATGTGCCTATGTGACGTTCCTATCATTCTAGATAACCAAAAAAAGCTTATTTCCAGTGCTTGACCTTGACCAATTTTGAAAGTAACTGGGGTCAAACATGTTTCAATCATTTGAGCCTGTAGCATGCTGGGATGACTGACTACCAAGTGTGTTAAGATGAATGAAGTTGACCCACTTTTGATGCCACAGAGGAGGTCAAATAATTCTAAAATTTTCCAAGAACTTCTCAATAACCAGAAGGCCCCGGCTATTGTTATTGTTCACGTTGTATGCTGGGAATGGCTACCTACTTGTTCAAGTAAGTGGTCTTGAACCACTTTTGAGGTTACAGGGGTCAAACATATTAAAATCCTCAAATGACCTCTTTTTGATAACCAAAAGCCTTAATTTGCTGATTATAGCTCTTCAGAGGCTGGATGAATGACTTTCAAATTTGTTGAAATAATTCATATTGACCTACTTTCAACGTCACAGGAATCAAATTTGTCAAAATCTTCAAACGACATGTTCTTAATATCCAGAAGGGTCAGGGTGCTGATATTAGCTCTGTAACATAATTGGAAGAAGAGCTAACAAATTTAATCAAATCATTGACCTCGACACAATTTCAACGTTTCAAGGATCAAATATTTTGAGAACTCATAATTTATTCATTTAACCAACTATAGGTCCTGGGTCATGGTATTTGTATGGTACCATATGTGAGAAATAGGATTTGAAGTTTGCAGAAATTTACTTTATGAAACCTACAAAGTCTTCTGTGTAATATGTTAAACAGTTAAGCGATTCATGCCCATGGGGCCTCTTGGTGGCATTTACTGGCAATATAGTCTAAACCTGAACCAATGTAATAACTGTTCCTACTCTAACTGCTTATATTATACCATATATAATAACGTGGCCAGATATCCGTTAAGGCCCCATGATCCCCTTGTCTCATATGGGTACATCTATAATTCGATCCGAGAAAGAATCATTCACAGAGAAAGAAAGTTCTTTGTCTTCATTCTTTTCATTTTTTTTTTTTTTTTTTATTTTTGTTTTTCTTATGAGTTATGAATCTTCTTTGAATGTTTTAATGGACAGCTCTGATATTTTTTTTTCAAATGCAGACATGCATTCCATAAAACAGGTGCAAGATTACATATATTATGTTTTATTTACTCATTGTTTTAAACTTTTATCATGTTTTGTATCTGATAAGAAATATAAAGCAGATTTGAAATGACACATGTAAACTGACTTGTCGCGGTGAGAGTAAGCACATGTGTAAATATATCAATATGAAAATTATATTTGAAAGCGGGCAAGGTTAATCATACACATGAACTTCTTTTAAGGTCGTCATTAATTTGAAAATTATTACGTGTTGAATGATGTGATTTTAATGACCTAATTCCCCATGTAGATTTAAAATTTTTCTGTCGCCCAATTTTGATATCATCAGCTGCGTCCTGGATTTTAACACTTAAGTGCCTCAACATCAATGACGAGTCCTGGAAGGACGGAACAACTGTATAGTGTGTTTTGTGTTTTAATTGATTAATTGACGCAATCTCCGTCTAGATTTGCAGATATAATGTTTGGTACATTCACAACTTGTTTGGATGTATAACTGCAGATTTGAAAGATAATATTGCTAAATGTTTCATCTTTCTTAAAAAGCAACGGTAGTAATAAATCACGTGAAAGCTTTGCTTCTCTCTTAAATCACTTTGCAGATTTCCCCACTGTCAAGTGTTGCGAGGTGAATAATCCCAAAGCCAGGCTTGCATACGATACGATATTTTAACAAGCTCTTCCATTTTTGAAACGTTTTAACATTATTAAAAAATAGAAACATTTAAACTATTGAAATAAACCAATAGAGACCACAGGAACCTACCTAATGCAATCAGTTTATGTTTTCATCTACTCTGATTATTACCAATGAAAATGTAGCCGTCTTATGACAGAATCAGAAAGATGAACAAAATTCGAGATAAAGGACGTACCAACCAGACTATGTGGTTCTAAAAAAATAAACCTCTGGTTGTACAGTCAATCCCAGTGAAGCAGTAGACTCATGAAGTATCCAGTCTGATGATGACATCTAGACTAAGAACTCAGACTCAGAAAAGAACATGTATAATATTGCACAGACAATTGTCTGGGTGATCTGAACATATGTAGACATGTCAAAAGTGCCTAAACTGTCATCATGATTCATTTGGTTTTGGAAAACTTATTCTAACATACATTTACACAAAAATGTATATGCTAAAAAGCGGTCCATTCAATCAAGTGTTTTAATTGTGTGTCCTCACGGAAAGAACGCCTTTTGTCAGGCCAAATGAATATTTAGAATGCTTTCGTCTCCTTGTTGACATTTATATATAACTGTGCATAAAACAAGACAGTTAAAGAAATATACTGTCATATTGAGCCATATTTCAGGCGAGATTCTTGAGGCTTGATGATTGCTGAAAGAAAATGACAGAACGTTTGCCAAAGTTTGCACAAAGAGCATGACACACATTTCCTCCGGAGACAGTGAAATATGATTATATAAAGTGCAACGTAACACGTTATCCAACCTTTTATTGATATCTATCAGACACACGTGTTTCCACTAAAGAGATTAATCATTTCGCACTGTAGGTAATACATTATACGCCGCCATGCCTACCAAAGGTGAAATGATTGATACAGTTTGTAAATCTAGAAGATGATTTATACAAATGCCCTAAAAGCCTACCAAGGTGTACAGTTACACAATTATATAATCTATTTTGATATCGGATAAATGGTTTATGTAGACTTAACGGACTGACGGGTATCTAGCTGTAGCAGATGTGTCTGAAATATCAAATTAAAAATACCATCAAAACGTTTTATGTTTTATGAAGAGGTATTTTGATATCACCACAACTTTTCTATTGTATAGTGTTACGATAAAAACATGTCTGTGTTAACTACTGTTAACCTCTTAGATTTCGTGAATGTTTTATTTCGCGAACTTATCTCTTCAGTCATTTTCGCGAATACATAATTTTGCGATTGCTAATGTAGAACGACTTTAAATTTGTGAATTATGAAGTATATGAGAACTTGACTCTACAAGACGTCGATATCAGTAACCAAATAAACAGGGATATCATCCATTGTTAATTTCGTGATTTGGAATTCGCGATTGACTGTCCTCGCGTATTAACGCGAAAATACATCCCGCGTGAAATATTAGTGATTTACAGTTGTTTATTCTATGATGAGAACAATAGAATGCAGTTTAGAACATTTTGAAATACGTTAAAATTATTTTATAGATAAGTAGTGTTCACAATGAAGTTCATGTTTTCGGTCAATATTTTTCTCAGTTTGATAAAACCATGTACTGACTTCATCAAAAGTCTATAAATGTATACAATATCGTTGGATGTGGTTAGGTTTCTGACCCTACTGAAAAAACCCAATTATTCATATTATTGCTTCAATGATACGACAAGCAAATGTTCCAAGTGTTGTTTTCACTACTGTTCATTTTATCAGTTGGTGTCAAGAAATCTCATTCGATTTATTTTAATGTTAATTTGTGTTTCGACGCGAATCGACCAAATTTCGATGTTTATTGTTATAATGAAAATATTTATTAAATAATTTAAGCGTTCATGAGTTGGTTGATATCAAGAGATTATTTGTCTTATAACAGCTATGGATGAATGGATATTTGGAAATGATTTAACAAAGTTTACAAATTTTAACTTGTACAATTTTCACCTCCATGGAGTCACAATTTTACTTCGCGATTTCCCCCGACCTAATCGATGTGGATTGTTTTTGTTCATAATAGAACCTAAATTATAAGTCGCACTCCTCTTTGGAACTCTAGAGTTTGGTTCAATACACCATACCATGTCGTTGCTGGTCAATCCCAAACGTTTGACCATTCTGTCATGGTGTTTACTGGACTCAATGTTGGGAGGGTTATATTTAGCCATTTCGTAGCCAGATATCACAGTAGGGACTGAAGTGGACTTTTTCATGTCAGTGTTTCCGTAAAATTCATAATTCAGTAACGGATGTTTCCAGGGATCTAATTTCCCGTGGCTGTCGTGAACTGGTGTTGGAGAATCCTTCCTACGAATATTTGAACTGGTTGTATGATCTATTTCTGTTTGGATGCCAACAGAAACACCCCTTTTGACAGTGTTAGGGGTTATAATGTGCTCCTTGGTATGATCTGTATTAGTACTGGTGTCAACAAGATGTTTTCCCGCAGTGGCAGGACTTCTGTCTCTGACATTTTCTTTATCACGTGGATATGTTCCTGATGAATGTTTGGTATCTGGAGACAGACTGCCAACAATAGAACCCTTTTCACTGTTGCTGGGAAAGTTTTGTTGACTCCCTACAGTTTTTATTGAACTGCTTCCGAACGAACTAGTTCTATGAACTGGTGCCCTACGTCGTGGCGGTCTTGTGTTGTCCTCCACGTGCACGGCGCCATACACTTGCGGTCCAGTTGGGCGTCCGCCATATCTATCGTCTATACCTGTAAAATCAGGTTCTTGAAACTCTTGTTCATCATCTTCATTACTCCACACAACCCTTTCATGTCTATTTTGATTTTCGTTGTTATGACGATCTTGATTCGATGGATTATTTTCCGAACTATTAAAGCGTGGTCGACCTTTGGGACTATTGTTTTTATTTCGTTCTCCTGGACTTGACCGCACGTGCACAATATGGCCTTGACCTTTCCCGGGTGGACTTTTAGACACCAAATGCTTTTCACCGCGTTTCATGTTCTTAACGAGAAGTTTATAATTGTCTGTTGCACCCACAGCAAGGTCTTGGTACGCGAACCCATCATCGGGTTGTCCATATAGGCTCCTCTGATACACATTATTTCGAATATCCGGAAGTGACGTTTGTTCAACAGGAAATGAAATTTCGGTCTCATCTTCCATTCCGTATAATCCATTTTTCACCAGACGACCATTTTGCTTGTTTGTGGGTTTGTATCTGGTATCGTCTATTCTTTCATCATCCCTATATAAAGGACTTCCGAATGTCGGCTTTCGGAATCTTGATGAAGTCTTATCGCTTTTGGCAGACGACCGCGGGAAATAGGATGAATAGACATTCATTTGTGCAGACGATAGAGCAGTCACGTCTCTTTCATATATACTGTCATCTTCATCTTTATCAACATCGACTATCACGTCTGCAAATTGAAAGGAAATACACTATAAGTATATCGGTAAATATGCAAAGAGTAGTCCTTTATTGATATTGACTCATTTTGCCGATATGAACATACGAATAAATGTACATAAAACACAAGAAATATTCACATGGAGATTCCTGAAAAAAAAAATTAAGGAGGATAGGACCAGGTATTCCGGAAGAGTAAGCGTCTTCTGCTTCTTTGATGACATCCGCCATTAAAATCTTAGGCAATCCAATTAAGGAATGTTACGTTCTTAAATGAAAACAAGGTAAACAACAACGGAACCAACAGGCAATGATTTGTCATGTATGTGAACCGAACGCACCAAACAAACATGTGGAGTGTAATAGGTTTGCAAAATATGTAAAAATAAAACCTATTTACGATGTTTTTAATATCATGACGGCAGACACTACACTATTAGAAGCATGCAAAGAACTGCATGTGTAAGGGTGTATAAAATCAGAAATTTATCCTTGAAAATTTGACAGGAATACGAGTGCGTCACCCTTGAAGATGGTTTGTTTTTGGTACCAAAGTCTCAGAGGAATTGTCTCGGATCTAAATGTCGTGTCTGATATATGTATTGTGTTGAATATCTTCTAGCACCACGTATGTGGATTTATGTTTTAGGAAGAAGTATACATATGATATGATACGTTCCTGATGATGTGTATTGTTTTCAATGGTCTAATACAGCTTGATGTTGTTGAATATTGTATTCTACTACAACTCGTGATCGGCAGAGATATGTTACATTGTATAAACTGTTCTGAACTCTGCAATATGTCCAAAAGTTGTGAAATATACAGTGGTATGTCTTCTCACTCACCTGTGTCTTTTGACTTTACTTTAGTGAAATATACAGTGGTATTCAATGGTTTCTCACTCACCTGTGTCTTTTGACTTTACTTTAATGAAATATACAGTGGTATTCAATGGTTTCTCTCTCACCTGTGTCTTTTGACTTTACTTTATTGAAATATACAGTGGTATTCAATGGTTTCTCACTCACCTGTGTCTTTTGACTTTACTTTAGTGAAATATAGTGGTATTCAATGGTTTCTCACTCACCTGTGTCTTTTGACTTTACTTTAGTGAAATATACAGTGGTATTCTATAGTTTCTCACTCACCTGTGTCTTTTGACTTGTGGTTTACTTTAGCGACTTCCTTTACAATGATCACTGTTGCTTTTGATTTCTTACAGCAAAGACAGCCAATCAGACAGATAATAACTGCCACTAGAAGGACCAGGCCCCCTGTCACGCCTCCGATAATACCTGCTAATGCGAGAGTCCCTTCAGATGACCCAGTCGTTTGATCTGTTGGCACTGAAACATACAGTCAGACTCATACCGCCACGAAACATCATTATTGGGTAATAATAATACGTATAACCCCTGTACAATATATGTGTTAAACCATATATACTTTCAGAGAACATGAACGTACATTCAAACACTATAACCTTCACGATAGTAATCGCTGGTTAGGTTATCGTAGGTCCATAAATGAGTTCCCAATTTTAGATATAACATATGGTGAGTTTCAGAGAACCAATCCTATACTAAAATATCTACCCAACGAGTTCACAAACAATATTTGTTCAGGAACATATCTATAACATGTCCCTGAAAAGATGAATGATTTTTATCCGGACGCCAGTTAAGTTGACAATGCTTTTGATGATTTGTCCAAACTGTATATTGTCAAAGTTGGATGTTGCTTTATGTGACATGGCAAGTTTATTGGGACACGTCCAAAAGTTGTTGAAGATTGATCGGTTCATTCTTGTGTTCAACCATATCGCGTTTTGACTACAGTAAATCGTGTCCTATACATTGTATGGTCTGGTGACAATGGGGTACTCGATACTGTACATATACCTATATATGTATATACCTATCACGTATACGCATGTATATAAGATGTCACACCTTTTAGTATAAATGAAAGATAATGAAATAGTTTATAAATTATAATGAAGATTATCTAATTAATAATTATCAGTATAAGCTATTCTAAATAATCTACAGCCGAAAGTGTGAAATATATTTATAGCATAACTTACAACGCGAACAAATATTTTTCTACCTTGTGATACCATGATATATGTTTCCATCAATTTTGCCATCACTGTGTTCCATTTCTATATTGTATTGTAAAAAATAACTTTATTACAGTGTACAGTTTCAATAATAAAAAAAACACACTTTTACTCGAACAGTGTTCACTTCAAATGATTATTTCTAGATATAGCAATGTGCTTAATATTAAAATGTCGTGAAATTTATACTCACCACAGTTTTCTGAAACGGGAAGAAGACACTTACATCAATGATAGAGTTTGTAAAGTCAAAGTGTTGAGAGTAGAACAGTTCACATAAATTTACATCTCCCTAAGAAACCTGACGATTGCCTCGACCATCCCCAAGTCTCCATGTCTGACAAGCCTCATACTCATTTACATAGAAAATATCTTTAAATTACCTTAAAATACATGTACCTAGAACAACGACTGCCAAATAATTACCTGTATGGGGTTTACTGTAGCGTCTCTTACACAAAGAGTAATTGTTGTGTGTGCGAATTCCCTGGTAAAGGTTCGAAGCAATATTACAGTGGAAACGAAAGTTTAAATGACCAACTTAGAGTGTGCTGGAATTTATTAACGATTTAAATAGATTTGAACACGGCATATCTTGTTTGGGTAAACACAGGTTGTCTGATATGTGCTTGATTGATTATTGACAATATCAATTTACTATGTGTCGGATTACTGTGTAACTATTGGGATTCTATACAGGGTCGGTACATGTACTGACTGAATATCACTTATTGGATATATGTGTATTTTCGCGGAAACGGATGGTGTGTATACCATGGACACTATCAGTACCAAATGAAACAACGCGGGACCACCTATATCACCCGTACAGTGTATATGTGTAGTACAATTAGACAGTTGTGTTAGATTCTGTCACAATTAATCTACAAGATGCCTGCACGTCATGTTTTTGTTTTTACCAGATAAACACTTAAGTAATTGTGGACGGACGGATTGAATGAAATACGCAAGAGGTAATACAGACGGGTTAAATGAATTTATCAACTTGTATTCCTTTCCGCGTAAACCAGCTGGAGATTAAGACTAAATTTAACCTTATATAATCATGCTTACATCTTAGTTTGTTTTGACGCTCCTAGATTTTAGAGAATATGTATTTATTTACAAATTAGTACAACATTGTTGTAATTAGTATACCGTAATACGTATTCTCTGTTTTAGACCAATATACACGTCTACAATTTCGCAATCATGATATAAGCACTGAAATATATAAAATCACAGTAATCATTTCAAAAGAATTTTAGTCATGTTTATATTCAGTCAAAGTACACAATCCAAACTAATCTTGTTCACACGAAACCGATATTTTGTAATCATTACATACCTATACATCAGCGACCCAAACACAAAAACATGAATTGTTTGTTTATTTGATAAAATTCTCATGTACCTGTAACATTCTGCATGGTGATGTAGACGCCCCCTGGTGGACTATACTGACTGGTTTGATTGTAGTGACACCTATCGGGGACCTCGGTTCCAAAAGTGACGCCATTTGTTTCCTGTATGGCCTGACGGTCATATAAAAGTGATCAAGTTTAAAGAATATTTATATTATACAAGCATTTCGAGCCATTAACATTGCATGCTCTCTCTGTATGTGCTCTTTCTTGTCCCATGTGTTTGAAATAAAGCCTTAATTTATACTATCTGGAACATTTTGGCACCTGTACACCATAAAGCTTTAAGCAATAAAATTCGAAAAGTAAACTATTCATATTGTAAAGCACGTAAACGTACGTTTCTAACCCAGAAAACATTTCCTTATACACGACCATGGAGGAAGATCTTAAGTAACGATACACATGGGACACAAAACTAATCCTAAGTAAAGCGATATTCCTGCAGAAACAAACAAATGTTTTTGTTTTTGTTTTTTTGACTGATATTGCATGTTACGTGAATTGAGGCTAAGAAATTAGTAAAAAAAAGCCAGAAAACACACGTGAAATCAAATTACTGTAGAAAAAAGTGTAAAATAGACATAATATTTTATATTGAATGTAAGAGTATAACTCACATAACAGGATGTTCTGTAGGTTTGCCCAGCTGTGAGGGAGGCATCAGTATTCCATAGGGCGATGTACGTCACGCCATTCTCGATCAGATCAAACAGGCAGACGAATTCTCCACCAGCTGGGCAGTAAAATAATACTATTATATAAAAGATGGCACGATAACAATATTTTTGTTCTTCAATTATTCATAGTTCTTAAGATAATTCTCATGCTACCGACAAAACATGAATTCGGACAGTAAATTATCGGTTTCCAGTCCCTCTAACATAGAAACCAACATTTGAGAAGTGAATGAATTTGTGATCTCTTTAAGCAAACCTTCAGATTTAAGATAGAATTATACTATCGGACTTACTGTGTTTATTCGCAAATATCGTTTTATTTAATCGATATATCTTCTTTTCATTTCCGCAATGGTGTCTGCCAGGGCTAACCTATCCATATAAATTGTTTTTACTTGCTAAATTTCTAGTGTCCATTGATGAGAGGGACTCTAACTGACGAATGTATAGTGTTATCACTTTGAAATATCATAACTAGGACAGGATTGAATATCAAAATGATTACATTTACTGCAATCGTTACTGTTTTGTTGAATTTCAAACTTAGAAAAGCAAACGACTATTTTATTCAATTTTATTCGCCAAGACACGAGACACTATCAAATATTGTAAAAAGAAGAAAACAAAAGATGAAATTTAAGTTGAATCATGCAATGGGGACAATAGCTACAACTTGTAAGCATCGAACACATATGGTGCAGTAT